TCGTTGAAATGTAGGGGAAGCATAGCAAACTCCTGATGTGCTGAGTCAGTGGAAATGCCCATGTTGCCACAAGTACTGTGAATTTCTTCTTGGAATAGCTTATTGCTGGAACTCTAAGTCAGGAGCTGGATCCCAAGCTTTTGGCTTGACAGAGAACAAATTTCTAGCCTTGCCTGGGGGGTGAGGAACTTGTACCCCCTCAGATGTAGCTGTGATATAGCTCCAGGTTGGGCAGGTTGACATATAAGCTCTGGTCCCTTTGCCATATACGGGTTTATTTTGTTTGAGGGCACTCTAGCCACCACCACTAGACAACCCAGGCAGGTTCTAGGGTGGTGGGAACTCCTTCCTTGTCCTAAATCATGCCCTGAATCTGGGCAGGGAGGGAGAGAGCAAGAGGCTGCTACCAGTGGTGCAGTGCAGTGATGGGTGGTTGGCTAGGATATGGGTGAGGATCATGGGCAGCAGCTGCTGAGGATAGTTGTGGGATCAGGAGGCAGTCCTGTAAGGTAAGGCAAACATTATCCCTGCCCCCTTTAGCCTTTCCCTCACTGATGGAGTTTTTCACACATGGAGAAGAAAAAGAGGAGTTGAGGCATGTTTGCGTAAGTATTTTTCTCCTTGCAGACCCCCCAAGGACAGTCCCAGATTTACATAAGCGGTCCCGGTTTCTGATTTGATCCCAGAATGTCCCACTTTCCTTAGGACATCCCTATTTTCATTGAGGAAATGGTAGGACATCCCTATTTTCTTCGATCATGGAGTTATGCAGTCCCCGAGCCAAGGGGCTAAGTAACTATACTATCTTTAGAAGACATCTGAAGGCAGCCCTGTATAGGGAAGTTTATGAATGTTTAATGTTTTATTAAGTTTTTACTTACCGTATATTTCGTTCCACCGGCCGCACCGGCCCATAGGACGCACCTCGTTTTTAGGGGGGGGGGGGAAATGAATAAAAAAAATTATTCCCCCCCCCAGCTGCCGCCCCAAGCCTCGCGTGCTTCGGGCTGCAGGCTACCGCCCCAAGCCTCGCGCGCTCGGCGGGACCTCCTGCCGGGCGCGCAAGGCTTGCAGACACTGCGCCCGAGCACGGGAGCCCTCCGGAGGGCTCCTCGTGCTTCGGGCGACATGCTCGCCGCCCAAGCCTTGCGCGCTCGGCGGGACCTCCTGCCGGGCGCGCAAGGCTTGCAGACACTCGCCCGAGCACGGGAGCCCTCCGGAGGGCTCCCGTGCTTCGGGCGACAAGCTGCAGCCCAAGCCTCGCGCGCCGGCGGGACCTCCTGCCGGGCGCGCAAGGCTTGTAGACACTCGCCCGAAGCACGGGAAGCCCTCCGGAGGGCTCCCCGTGCTTCGGGCGACAGGCTGCCGCCCCAAGCCTTGCGCGCTCGGCGGGACCTCCTGCCGGGCGCGCAAGGCTTGCAGACACTCGCCCGAGCACGGGAGCCCTCCGGAGGGCTCCCGTGCTTAGGGCGACAAGCTGCCGCCCCAAGCCTCGCGCGCTCGGCGGGACCTCCTGCCGGGCGCGCAAGGCTTGCGGACACTCGCCCGAAGCACGGGGAGCCCTCCGGAGGGCTCCCCGTGCTCGGGCGACAGGCTGCCGCCCCCAAGCCTTGCGCGCTCGGCGGGACCTCCTGCCGGGCGCGCAAGGCTTGCAGACACTGCCCGAGCACGGGAGCCCTCCGGAGGGCTCCCGTGCTTCGGGCGACAGGCTGCTGCCCCAAGCCTCGCGCGCTCGGCGGGACCTCCTGCCGGGTGCGCAAGGCTTGCGGACACTCGCCGGGGCTGCAGGTTGCTACCTGCAAGCCTTGTGAGCCCGCGGGAACTCCCACCGGGCTTGCAAGGCTTGCGGATAGCTTCCTGAAGCCTGGAGAGCGAGAGGGGTCGGTGCGCACCGATGCCTCTCGCTCTCCAGGCTTCAGCGAAAGCCTGCTTTCGCTCCATAGGACGCACACACATTTCCCCTTCATTTTTGGAGGGGAAAAAGTGCGTCCTATGGAGCGAAAAATACGGTATGTTGGAAGCCACCCAGAGTGGCCGGGGCAACCCAGTCAGATATGGGGGGAATAATAATAATAATAATCCCTATCAGAGAAATGTTGGAGGGTAAGGTGGGGGGCAGGGGCAGCTGCCCTGGGCACAAAATTGTTAGGGATGCAAAAATTCAACACCTGGTGCTGCCTCAATACAGCTGCATGCTTCTCTTGCTGGGCTCCATTGAAAATGGCTTCTGCATGTGAAACCAGGAAGTGATCTCTCCAGACAATGGAATAACCCTTCTTTTCTTATCTCCATGTCTGCGATCTCCTGGGTGACACGGATGCTGTTAGGTAGTTGAATGTGCATGCATACTCCATCCGCTTCCCTCCCCCCCCCCCATTTGAACCTGGGTACTGGCAACCCACACAGCACTGCTCCTTGCCGACATTGTTTCATTCACTCCCCAAGAGTGCTGCCTCTAAGTATAAAGCACAACCAGCTGGCCTTGGTATGTTATACTCAGCATACCTTCCTTTAAATAGATGAGGCTTCCTTCCTACTGAAAAAAATGGTAAAAATGCAATGTCCCCTATTTTTTCCATGTCTCTCTCCCTGCCCACTGGGCTGTTTGCCACCACTGGGCTGTTAGTTATTAAGTAACTGGACAATGAAGTAACTGGACAATGAAGTTGTCTGCAAGGCCAGTGAGGAATCTGTTTGACCTTATGCTCTTGGCTGAGTTTGACATCCAACAAATATCCGGGTAACTGAAGTCCCCCATTACTACTATCTCCCTTCCTTTTGCATGCTTGGCCATCTGTTCCAGGAAGGCATCATCTAAGTCCTCCGTTTGGCTTGGGATCTATAGTAAACTCCCACAATGAGGTCACTGTTATTCTTCTCTCCTTGTCCCTTATATGCACAAGCAGCAGTTATTCCCAGTGTACCAGGCAATCCTCTGGGCATGTCTGCTCATCCCAACAGGATTTAATGTATATAGAATCAAAATATGTCCCTGGATGCTGAAGTATCAACTAACCATGAACTCCTATACAGGCAGCAACTGTTTTGGGAGCATCTGATATGTGAGCGACTGCATTGCACTGAACCCGGAAATGACCCCAAAACATCACAAAAAGGGGTTGGACAAGAGCAGGATGGGGCGGCCTTACACTGGCCCTTTCAACATGAGCATAGCCAAGCAGCTGTCCCCCCTAAATCAATACAAATCTGAGGTTCTGCTCCCCCCCAACAAAAATCCTGGCTATGCCCATGTTTGCCGACATGCACGGGAGTCAGGAACGTAATCCCCATGCAAATCGGTCGCTAACTGTATAAAATGACCTGATGTGTGCATCCTTCATAATATGCACATTGGAACACAATTATCAGCTGGTTTTCACACTTCCTAAATGTTCTTATTATGAGCAACATCAGGGGGAAGGCAGGGGACAAGTTCTCCCCCCACACTTGCCAGACTTATGGTAAGTCATACTAATATTTTTCTTTCAGAGAACATCTCACGCACCTAGAAATTTACCTTGACTCTTCTGTGCCTCCCCAATGCACAAAAATATTTTCTGGTGCCACCACTGGTTCTCATGCAGTTACTGGCACACACAAATAATCAAAGCATTCTTTAAAAAGCACATGTCAGAGCTGGCTCCAGGTCCCAGCTCACAGAGGACCAACGCTAGCCGGCAGTAATGTACAAAAGTCTTTATTGAAGTACAGTTTCCATTTTCAAGCCGCAGCGCCCCAGCTCTACGTCTAGGGGTTAGATCGGCGAAGCTCCATCTGAGTCTCCGCCCCCTGTACACCAGTTTAAGATTCTAGCCTTACTCCACCTCTTACGTCTCTCCTTTCTCCTCTGGGTCCTGCTACCCCCCGGGGTCCCTTCCTTCCTGGATTCTTCTGACGCTGACGTTGACCCCCTGACTCCTCCCCTCTTTCGGCGGGCTTTGGGACCTGGCTCCTATCCGGGCTGCCAACTGCGCCGCCCTCCTGTACATTTGAACTTTGCGCGCGCGCCCAGCCTTCAACCTTCCTCTCGACCGTTTCCTCGCTCCCCGATGGAGGCGTGGCCAATCCTGACTCATGTCCTCCCACTGGCAGTGCGCCGCCTGATCCCGATGCCTGGGACCCTCCCCCTACTGCACTCTGGTGTGGACGCTGGTCCTGATTTCCAACTGCTGCTCTCTGAGTCCCCTCTGGCCCCTTCTTCCTGGGGTGTCCCCTCGGCACCCCCTTGCTCTGACCAAGGGAGCCCCTTTCTGTGAATCTTCCGATTCGCTGGAAAGACTCAGAGACCTCGGACCGCTGTCATCGCTAACATTTCCTTCGGACTCCTCCCCCTCGCTCTCTATTTCCTCCCTTTCCTGTGCCTCTGCTCCTGAACCCCTGACAGCACATTTATAAATAAAATATATTATGAAATCTGTGTTTAACTATAAACCTTCATGCAGCTTGAACAGGACATGGGGGTGATGCAGATTAAAATGCATATGCCTAGTCTTCATTTGGCATGGTGATAACACATTTCATGTCATGGCCATAGCCAGGATTTATTTTAGGAGAGGTAGGCATTGGGGGGGGGGGCAGAACCAAATTATCTTCAATGCAAATGGTCAGTTAGTTATTTTTATTTATTTACTTGATGGGGCAGCTGCCCCCCTGGCTATGCCCATGTTTCATGTTAACATTTGGATAAAATAGATTTGTTTTTTAAATCACTTTCACAAGCCTACCTTGATTTAGTGCCTCTTAACTAAATACTCTGAAAAAAAATGACCAAACCCTTCAGACCAAATACTGTACCTATATTTGATAAGCAATGCCTCATTGCAGAAGGAGCAGTCACAATACAAGAGACCCTGGCAATTTCACTGTTAATCTGGCCTCTGTGGTTACTGGGCGTTGAGCTCACAGTCTGATGTCATTGCTGTAACTTGAGCCTTCAGCGTTGCTTTAAGGTTTTGCTCAGAATTGCCTTTAAATAGCCCTGCCCAGACTGAGAGTTCTCTGCAGGAGCTCCAGGGAAAGACTCCAAGGCAAATCCCGTTGCTGCCTCTGACATCTGCGAAAGCAACGAGGAACCCTCAGGTGGGCAGCATGTCCAGCTCCTTGCGGGTGAGTCCTTCTGTCCACGGCTATCGATTTGACACGGCCTTGCGCAAGAAAGCGGTGGCCGACATCTTTGAAAGCCTGGATCAAGAATCACTGCAGAAGCTCTTCAGGGACTCAGGGGACCAGAAAGCAGAGGAAAGGGCCAAGATCATCCTGGCCACCGACCAGGACCTGGATGAGAAAGCAAGGTCGCTCATGGCTTTGAAGCAGAGGACAAGAGAGAAACTCTTCCAGTTCCTGAAGTTTGGGAAATACACCATCAAAGTCCACTGAAGCTCCTTTAAAAGAGAGGACGGGATGAAAGGAGCAAAGTTATTCAGCCAGACTCCTCACTTTTGAACAAGAGCACCTCCAGCTGCTTTGAAACTGGTGTGGCAAGAGATGCTGGCAACATCAGTCAGGGGGATTCAGCCCCATTTTGCACACTTCAAAGTTCACAGCAAAAGACTTCCTTGGTTGACTCAAACTTGCATGCTGGAGTGAGTAAGGGAATCGGCCTGTGAACAACTGAGAAATCCAGCCACAAGTCACGGGGATGGAGCAGGCGGTGAAACAGTCACTGGTTCAGACTCAACTTTTCCTGGCTAATGAGAGACTAGATTATTTTCCTTCTTAGCTGTCTGTTTGGCAATGTGTCCTGACACTTCTTTATTGAATGTGCAAAGCCTTCCATAAGCCAGAAGAGCTCCCTGCTTTCTTCTGGAACAAAAGGGAATGGGGAATGATCAGTAACTGCCCGTTTGCTTTTGTTGAAAAGACACACCATCTTAGTGTTTAAAGTATGTGCTTTCTTTTGTTTACGTGCAGTTCACAGAGCAAACTTTGTTTCAGGATGCATGAAGCAACTCTGTTAGTCTTACAATGAGTTTTACAAGCAGAAGTGGGTTGTTCAACTAATTGCACGAAATATGTTTTTGTTGTTGTTTTTGTTTAAATGTAAAGTTTTGTCCTGAACTGATTGAACAGACTTAAATTCTCTTTGGAACATTGAGTTCTTTTTTTGCATCAATGGCATTTTTTACTTTTTTTACTTTTTGTAAAGAATTTAACTGGCAACCAGCTATGGTGATATTTTATAATAATGCTGTAAGTAATGCTCCCATTGATTTATTGCACATTCAGAGCAAATAAATTATAAAGTTGGTATAAGTGCTCATGGCTTGAAATGCTTTACTGCAACCAAAAATAGGGATGGCATATCCATGGCACCTACATTCTCCGCCCCCTTTTTACTTATTCCCTCAACTGTTGTCCATGCTTGCTAGGGGTGATTAATGCTAAAGTCTCACAATATCTGGAGGGTCACAGGTTTCCCATCTAGGACCAGGGCTTAATCCTAGAATTTATGTACAGTGCTAGGGCTCAGCTCTGAAATACTGTGTAGAACAGAGCTAGGAGTGCCTCTGAGCATGTGCAAAGCACATTCTGTTTACTATTGAGAAGCATCAGGAACTTTAGTGCACCAGAGGTTAGGGGTAAAAGTTTCTAGTTTGCAGACTCTTCCAGGTGACCATGCATTCAGGTAATTGGCCCCAGAGGCAGAATTTTATCAGTGGATCTTTTCAGCTTTTATTGTACAAAGTACCGTAGTTAATGTACGTAGTTACCTGCCACCCCAATCTCTAAGTGCTGAGGGTTTCCAGAGGTTCCAGCTACTTACTCAGGGCCTGGTTCCCTTAGAATGAGGCACAGGGGAGACCTCAGTGTCTCTGGGATATATGGCTTATTTGCACATATGTACAACTTGAGCCTACAATGGAGGGGCTTTAACCAGCATTAACTGGTGTGTTAAAGGTCTTGTTTCTCCCATAGCCACAGTCTAGGATTCAAACAGAAATCAAGCACGGTTCTCACTGTCTGGCTTCTGCCTGCAGCCTGTTTCCAGCTATCACACACAACTCTAGCTTTTTGTATTTCTCACTCCCAGCCAGGCGAGGAAGGGGCACACCCGTTTGCCCTCTGGCACAGAGCAACCTCCTTTGTTGTACAGTGGTACTTCGGGTTAAGAACTTAATTTGTTCTGGAGGTCCGTTCTTAACCTGAAACTGTTCTTAACCTGAAGCACCACTTTAGCTGATGGGGCCTCCTGCTGCCGCGGCACGATTTCTGTTCTCTCTTTTTTTAAAATAATTTTTATTCATTTAAAAACATTTATATTGTCATACATTTTACAAATTTCTATCTCTTATACAATCTTTTGGACTTCCATCAGCTCCTCTTCCGTCTTTATAGTTTCTCCTGCATTTCTTAAATTTATATTACCTTTTAAAATCATAACCAGTATCAACCTTTTCATTCAATAAGGCAATAATTCAAATTATTCCCCTTACAAAACTTCCTGCAAACCTACAAATGTAATCAGACACGATTTCTGTTCTCATCCTGAAGCAAAGTTCTTAACCTATTTCTGGGTTAGCAGAGTTTGTAACCTTAAGCGTCTGTAACCTGAAGCATCTGTAACGAGATACCACTGTACTAAGGACCATACACCATACCGGGGTCAGCAAACTTTTTCTGCAGGGGGCCGGGCTATATTTTGAAAAAACAACCCCCCACCGACTCTCCCCTCCCTTCTCCACAGCACCGGATGAGCCCCAGTGGCTGCTTACTAGTGCCTTGCGAGCAGCAGGGGCTGGCGGTAGTGGCGGTGGAGGAATGATGAGTGGCGCAAAAGGGCTGGCTCTGGAGAGGGGCTGCTGTGCTTTAAATGGCGCTCAGCCAACCTCGGCTCCTGTGCCTTGCGAGCGGCAGGGGCTGGCGGCGGCAGAGGGACGATGAGTGGTGCGAAAGGGCCAGCTCCAGAGAGGGGCTGCTTAAAATGGCGCTCAGCCAACCACGGCTCAACAAAGCCCAGCCCCCTTCCTCCTCTAGGCAGGGCGGGAAGAAGCCAGGAGGAGGGAGGGAGGAGGCGCTGCCGTGGCGTGTGTGTGTGTGTGTGTGTCATAGCCCGAATGATCAGAATCCCCAAGCCGATCCACACGGTGAATCCTGGACCATCCGCGGGCTGGATCCAGAAGGCAATTGGGCTGGATCCGGCCCTCGGGCCTTAGTTTGCCGACCCATGCACTATACACCATACCTAGGGAGTACTTAGGTGGCTACTACGACCCTTATCTCACAAACAAACCTGCCTGCCTAGCTCCTCGATTAGATTTTAACCCTTTCTTGATCCAGGACCCCACTCAATGCACAACAATGCTTTTATTAGGACCAACCTGTATATGTGAGCTTTTGGGTTACAAAGGACTATTATTGAGGAAGTTACCCTCAAAACTTAATCTAATTCATAGAATAATAGAGCTGGAAGGGACCACAAGGATCATCTAGTCCAACCCCTGTAATGCAGTTATCTTTTGCCCCATGTGGGGCTCAAACCCATGATCCTGAGATTAAGATTCTTGTGTTCTACCAACTGAGCTATCTCTCATTCTTTTTTCTTTTGGGGACCGTTTAACAGTGTACATAACTAGTTTTTGCCACTAATCATACCTGAAACAGAGAGAGATTTTTCACACTTTACGTGGCAGCAAACCCAGCTTTGGAAGTTAAATGTATGTGTCAGGGCTGCCCTGACAGTATGCTTGACTGGGAGTCCATATCCTCCAACATTTCCAAACATAATAGGGACATGCTTGTGACATCCCTCTTCTCATGCCAAGGATCACCCCACCCCCACCCCTGTTGCTATCTTCTCTGCTGTATATTGAGTCCACGTATGCTGTAAGAGCCTTTCTCGCACTGATTTAAAAGATAAGTGCATGGGTGTTCTTCAGGTTAAACGTATGCTAAGGGGAGATGATTTCCTACAGTACTGTATATTATCAGTAGAAGTGAGTGAGATTCTCTCTCCCCCCCCTAAAATTTTTTTTTTGGGTTTTTACAATATTATAAACAAACAAACACACAAGACAAACAAAAATAACAAACATAAATCATAGCTGTCAGGGGTTCAGGGACAGAGGCACAGGGTAGGCAGGAGATGGAGAGCGATGGGGATGAATCCCAGGACAGCGAGGAAGAGGATGACAATGACTCAAGAGATTCCATGAGTCTTTCCAGCGAATCAGAGGATTCCCAGAAGGGGGCGCCGGTGGTCAAGGCCAGGGAGCCCCAGGGGGACGTGTCAGGAGCAGGGGGCCAGCAGGGGATCCCAAAGTGGCAGCTGGGCGTCAGGACCAGCCTCCCCGCCAGAGTGCAGCGAAGGGAATGGAGGTTCCAGTGTATCAGGGAAGCAGCTCCGGCAGCAGAGAAGGGAGGGAGGTCGGAGCAAGCCACCCTCCCGGAAGGGGAGGGGAGTAGTGAAGGGAGTAGAGTAACTGTCAAAAGGAAGGTTAGAGGTTGGGCGCGTGCGCCAAGTTCAAATGTGGAGGCGCGCGGAAGTACAGGGAGCCCGGAGGAGGAGCCAGGTCCCAAAGCCCGCAGGAGGGGGGAAGAGCAATCTGGAGATTCCGCCTCAGGGAATCCAGGAGGGGCGAAACCCCAGGGGGCAGGAAGACCCTGCGGAAAAGGAAAGAGAGAAAGAGGTGGAGCAGCGCAAGCTTCTTAAACTGGTGCAGGGGAGGGACTGATTCAGAGGGGACTTCAACGGTCTAAGCGTACAGACGTGGGGCTGCGCGCCTCGGATGTGAAGCAAACAATGAACTCCAATAAACACTTTTGTATATAAGAAGAGATTGGCGTTGGTCTTTTGTGAGCTGAGACCTGAGGCAGCCTTGACAATAGCCTTATTGAAAATTACAGTTATTAACTTTGTTAAATGACTTCCTCGCTTCCCCTTGGTTGAATTTCATTGCATGTCCTTGTAACGGTTTTCCAAATCCCAATTTTTTGAAATTTAACTTAAACATTAACATCCTTAAATCTTCTCCTTATAGAGTTAAACATATTAATTTATCACTTAACATAAATAAAATCCTAAGCCCATTAAGTATCTGCAAGCTATTTCCGGTTAGTTTAACTTAACAAATTTAACTAAATAATCATTAAATTTATTCCATTCTTCCTGATATTCCTCCTCCTTCTGGTCGCGGACTCTTCTGGTCAGGTCGGCTAGCTCCGAAAAATCCATCATCTTCATCTGCCATTCTTCTACTGTTGGTAATTCTTGGGTTTTCCACTTTTTAGCTAACAAAATACGAGCAGCAGTTGTGACATACAAAAATAATTTAACATCTTTATTTGGCAATTCCAAGCCTGTTATTTCAAGAAGAAAGGCCTCTGGTTTCTTTATAAATGTATATTTCAACATTTTTTTCAATTCATTATAAATCTTTTCCCAGAAGTCTTTCACCTTGGGAAAGGTCCACCACATATGATAAAACGTTCCTTCCTTTTCTTTACATTTCCAACATATATTGTCACAATTATGATATATCTTTGCTAATTTTACAGGAGTCAAATACCATCTATACATCATCTTCATTATATTTTCCTTTAACAAAGTACATGCGGTGAGCTTGACCCCTTACTTCCACAAACTTTCCCAGTCTTCAAACATTATATTATGTCCTACATCTCTTGCCCAATCTACCATCACAGATTTAACTTGTTCATCTTTTGTATGCCACTCCAACAAAAGCATTTTAGATAAATTTTTACCTTTAGTATCCCACAACTCCGTCTCCAACTTGGATTTTTCAAAAGCAAAACCATTTTTCTTATCCAGTTTATACAATTCGTTAATCTGGTGGTAATGTAGCCAATTTAGCTTATCTTTAACTTGCTCAAATGGTTTTAATTTGTAACCTTCCTCTTCCTCTATTAATAAATCATAATATCTCAACCATTTGGTATCCATATTTAATTTTTTCTGGGCCTTTGCCTCCATTGGTGAGAGCCATCTGGGCGTCTTTCTTTCTAAAAGATCTTTGTATTTTATCCAAACATTATACAACGATTTCCTAATTACATGGTTTTTAAATGCTTTATGGGCTTTTACCTTGTCATACCATAAATATGCATGCCAACCAAGCACGTTATCAAATCCCTCCAAATCTAATAGATCTGTATGTTCTAATTGCATCCATTCTTTAATCCAACAAAGTGCAGCAGCTTCAAAATAGATTTTTAAATCTGGCAGGGAGAATCCCCCTCTTTCTTTAGAATCCGTAAGTAATTTATATTTAATTCTGGGTTTCCTCCCCTGCCAGATAAATCTAGAGAGTGCTTTTTGCCATTCTTTAAAGCATTTCGCATTATCTATAACTGGGAGGGCTTGAAACAAGAAGAGCATCTTTGGCAGCACATTCATCTTAATCACAGAAATCCGGCCCATTAATGACAATTTTAGGTTTGACCATACCTCTAATTCTCTTTTAATTTCATTCCATAATTTCTCATAGTTATCTTTATATAAATTCAATTTTTTTCCAGACAGGTTCACCCCCAAATATTTAACTTTTTTCACAAAATCTAGGCCCAGTTTTTCTTGTAGTAGTTTCCTTTCTTCATTATCCAGATTTTTCTCAATTACTTTGGTCTTGCTCTTGTTTAAAGAAGTGAGTGAGATTCTCAATGCTTCCCTCAAATTAAGTTGGAAACTGCCTGAGTTCTTCCACAGCAAAAAAGATCCTAAAAATAACCCTGCTGGATTAGGCTAAAACCAATTTAGTCCAGAATTCCTGTTCTCACACTGGCCAACCAAGTGTGAGAAGTCTGCAGCAGAACTCAAGCTCAATAGCATCCTCCTCACTTGTGGTTCCCAGCAACTGATATCCAGAGGCATATTGCCTCTGACAGTAGAGGTAAATTGGAAACGTTTAGAATTTTTCTCTGAGCCAAAGGAGGGTCTTTGAAAAATTGTGCTCATCTCAGCAGTCTCATTCATCCCCCTCATGGAACATAGTTTCAAAGGGGTGAGATGGGCAAAATTGGGTAGGTGAAAGCAGAAATCTACCCCCTCTCCACTGATGACCCATAGAATTGTCCTTCTGCTCCTACTCCCTAATTATACATCTGCAGGCTCTTTACTGTTGTTTCACCTATGGGGAAGGTTAGAAATGGACTGCAGAGGGTGAATCATGAGGACCCACAGGAGTTATTCCCACTCTCCAAATCTGCCCCTGCAGAGAGAAGGGCATTCTCCTGAGAGTTTTGGGGCTTGCTAAAGCTCACCTTTTGTTTTCAGATTAGCTCTATTGAGCTCCAGGTGGCCATTTCTGAGCATATTTCAGCAACTGCATTGGGTGTAATTATTGTAATTATTATTTATTAAATTTATATACTGCCCTACTCCTGGAGGTCTCAGGACAGTTCACAGACAGTAATGGCAGACTGTAAAATGCATAGTGCCTTGGTATTCATTTACACATACATCTAGATCCATTTATGTTGAGAGACAATATACATCTACTCCCCCAATTCTGAAATTTAACTGGGGCTGGGGGAGAAAGAAAGCTTAGCAATTGAAAGCTCTAGCAACTGAAATTCAGAATTATGATCAGGATCCCCACAAAAGCAAAAATTAGGCAAGTGATTTATCAGGGACCAGAAAGTAGGTACAGTGTGGGAGTCATACCCAATCCTGGCTTCCAGGTGAGTGTACACTGATTCATGTGCTTGGTTGTACTCAAACTTCACATTCTTAGGTATACATAGACAATTATTAGGTGTAGACCTAAAACCCCCAACATAACATACCAATTGACCCTAAGCTGTAGCTTACACCTTTTAGTGCAAATTCACACATTTTGTCTGCAAAGCATATTTTCTATAAAATTTATTCTCTAATATTTGTGAAAATCTTAAAAAAACCTAACCTATGCATACAAGTTACCTTAGTAGATGCATTTTAGAACACGTTACTTGTCTGGAGAACGGCATTGCAAAATTCTAAGAAATGTGAATTTTTAAGAATGGTTGTTTTCCGGTTCACATATCGTTCCAGAAAGTGCAAATCAGTTAGATTTGCTTTTAAATGTGAACTGAATCAAATTTCCTTTCTATCCCTAAGCAGCACCTGTGGCAGCTGGTGCAACAACCTTCAGTCGCTTCCTATTTAAAGTAAGGTGGATGCCAAAGCCTTTTAAAAAAAAAAATGGGGGTTGCTTCCCCTCCTGAATGATGCTGGACCCTCTGAGTGGAGTGGGAACCCTAAGTATTGCCCCATAGTCTAACTGTAGAACTAACTCTGAGGGTTCATCCACACTCACCTTTTGACCTGCACTTTCTAGGCACAGGTCCATGCTTTCCTGGTCCATGTCTGAGTGCTTTTTCTTTGCCCATCTGCTTTCCCCAGGAAAACTTGCTATTTAACGCTGATTTGTGTTTTCCATGGATTGCCATTTGCTCTGATTCAGTGATAGAGAACAGGTTTCTGTGGAGAAAGTGCCAGGGCAAAAAACAGTACATGCGGACAGGAAGCTTTGAAGTACAGATCTGTGCCTAGGAATGTATCACAAAAGCAAGTCTTGGATGAGCCCAGTTTTA